ATAGAGCCCCCCCCCCCCCCCCCCCACCTTTTTTTTTTACAAACTTTACATAGACCAAAAACATAAATAATCTAATAAAAAAGGAAAATGAGTATAAAAATCATACACTGATGCAAATTCTGGTGGAGTCGCCAGAGATGGACTCGGGTACTTCTCCTCTAAAATCTGAGTGATCACATCGGAATCAGGGACCCATTTCCCTTCGTCGCATTTGAGGACCGGAACTTTCCCTTCAGGACTAATCTCCAAAAACCTAATTTTTTGCCCCCCAAAAAAATAAGAATCAATTCAAAAACCTAACCCAAATTAGGGATTGCATGCCATCAACGAGAGCTAGAGCTAGAGAGAGAGAGAGAGAGAGAGAGAGAGAGAGAGAGAGAGAGATCACAGTTCACCATTCGGGCTTGTTGCTGACGTCAATCAACTTCATCTCATAGGGCACGTTCTTCTCTTCTAGGGTTAGAAGAACCCTTTGGCTAAAAGGGCCTAAACAAAAACATTTTTTTTAAAATTAGGAGAGAGAAGAGTTAGAGAGAGAAGATTTAGAGAGAGAGAGAGAGAGAGTTACAGTCGCCGAGGATCTCAGGAGCTCCGACGGCGGCCTTGACGCAGACTTCGACAGGAGAGGGGGACGCCATTAGCGAGCAATTCGAGCTCTGTAGAGAGAGAAAGGTAAGAGAGAGAGAAGATTGAAGCTTGGAAGCAGTTGAAAATGGCGGGGTCAATTATAGAAAGCGCGGGGGACAAAAATGTCAGTTTCAGAAATGATTGGGGCTTTTTGCATAAAGGCACAAGTCTTTTACTTTTTGTTTTCTGACGAAAGCAGTCAGTCTTTAGTCTTTACTTAATTTGTAAAACTTTGTCGAGCTTAGCAAGAAAACTTCAAAGCAATTTGCTATTTTACATAGATTCCTTCTAATTTGATCTTCAGATAGCTAATTAAAATAAGCATACTTCTCTAGTAAATTTTAAAAAAAAACAAGAAAAAAGTAATGATCATACGGTATATGTACACGTATTCATATCTTATTGATTTCTACATATACGTACATATCAACGTTCAATAATCTGTTAACATACATCATTGTACAGTAAATAATAGGGAATAAATAAATAAAATCATCATAATAATGCGCGCAGATGGGAAATGTTCACAATTGGATTGATTGCCATCTTCTTATTTTTACAAAATTAAATATGGCCTAAATTTGCTTGACCTTATAATCTTCGTTTTGTTATACATTTTGAGATTTATTTGAGTAGTATCAACTTAAAAATAGTTACATATATAATCAAATCTGAGAATTTTCTTCAACCTCTACATTAAATCTCTGATCGACTTTATTAGAATACGAATAATGCCCGAGCATAAACATATCTGAATTATTTGTTTTTTCACCATATATTTTGTTAACCATGTATTTGTTTGTTTTATTAAATATCAAACATCCAATATAAGAACATATTATTTTACTTTGATAAAATATAAGGCAACTGAGACAGCATGAAACCTTAACGTGTCATAATTGAATAATATTATGCAACATGCTGTCTATCAACTAGGACTGTACGTCATGAAACACTCCTTAAACCAATAATTATATATGTCTATATTTTGTGATCATATCAATTTTCATAAAAAAAAAAGAACCTAACTTATGCATTTCTAAGGATTGAAACAGTCAAAATAAATAAATAAATAAATAAAATTGTTGCTTCAAGTCATTAATTTAAAGGTTTCAAGATAACCACAGTTGACGATCAAAATTTTGAACGCGATGACTTAATTAAGCAGATGGGTCTTAAGAAACATTGCATGTTTTCATCTAGCTTCACTATGATTCTACTAGAAGTTATTTACTTTTGACTTTAAGATCCCTTCAATAATTAATTAAGGCTTGGAGCTGAGGTTTCACTTCATAGAGTTCACTGTTTTTTTTCATAGAGTTCACTGTTCTACATAAACACTATTATATATACGAGAATTTGACTAAGGTTTACTTAAAAATTTTTTTATGTGTAGAATTGCGTTTATGTGATATTTAATATGATCAGTTAATTAGAAGAAACCGCATATTAATTCGTTTCAAAGAGTTACTTAAGAAATGAGTCATCTGTTGCTAAATATTAATTAATTGGAGTAGGAGATGAGTATCATGTTATTAATCATGTTATTAATGTAATGGAAGCTAGGTTGGTAGAGATCCAAAGTGGTAGGTTTACTTCTAAGTAATTGCTCTTTAATTCAACTCTTACCAACCACTAATCACATGCTGAAGGATTAAACAGGTTCTTATTATACAGCATGATATCCTAGTTACCAATAGAAAATTATAAAAGGATACGTCCATACTTTATAGGATAAAGAAATTGTAGGCTATCTACAAAGTAAGTTTCAAATATTATTTCGCATGATGTATTATATATGTATATTTTTAGAAAATACTTGGAAAACTCAAACATGAAATAAAATTTATGCTTGGAGAATTCTGTAAGAATCTAAAGATCTTTGCTTCTTGTCTGTATTCTGTTGGAGAATAATTGCTTTAGTGAATGCTTGATGCCTTTTTTAGTGTCCACTTACAAATAAGGTTTTTGGTCCCCTAATTAGATTCTAAGAATGTGTCACCCTTTTTAAAAAAAAGCATAGCCGTACAAAGAGCCACATCAACATTGAACGAGCGTTCACAAAAGATCTAGCTGTAATTTTGAGAGCTTAAGCAATGTTGTTATGTTGTCACATGACATTAAGTTTGAAATTAATGTTTCTAATGGAAGGTTTAGTTTAAATGGCAAGTCATGCAAATATGAGAGCTGTAGATTCGAGTCTTATGAGAGACAATAGGAAAAAGTTCCTAGTGGACAAGTATCTATTACATACGTTGTCTTTAAAGAAAGAGAGACTTGACTCGATAATATCTGTCGTCAAAATTGTTAGGGTTTTTCTAACCCCTGTTACGATTTGGAAATAGAGGTGAAAGAGGGAAGAGAGGAAAAATAAATCACATGACACATAGAATTTACGTGGTTCACTTCTCGATGAGAGAAGTTACGTCCACGGTCGTCGCAGGTAAAATCCCACTATGTTCTGAATAGTTTACAAGATGCGAATTGGATCGGGTCTGAAAATTAGACTCTACATAACCTAATAAAAATCCATTTGTTTTGCACCGATCTAAAGACTTTTATGTTTTGAAATTTCACATGTACTTATCCACAAAATATCTATCGTCAAGATGAAGCTCTCCTCATGAGTTGATTTCAGCTATATGCTAATGAAATTTCATTCATGGTTATTGTAACAAGCAAGTCGATTATCTTAAATTTGTGAAGCCTGTAGCAAATTTTGAAGCCGACGAGAAAATATGAGGAAATTAATATAGTATCTATTTTCTTCCTTTAATATTTTATATTATGTTCATAATATTATATATTCATCAATTAAGATCTGTGTAATAAATAACTTTAGAATAATTATTTTTGCCAAAAAGATTTGTAAAATTACACCATGAAAGCTCCCACGAAGCGGTGAGAAAAAAAAAATCACGGATCACAAAGACTCCAACCTATTATGACTTATTTTTCAGACTTCACTCCGTACTCCGTACTTTGGACATGGTATCTTAATAAATCACCGAAGCCTGGGCTTTAAAACGTTGCAAATTCGATCCGTATAATGTGGACAGATCTTCTGGGCTTCGGCCTGCTTCCTTTGGTACCATGTAAGTTCGATTGGGCCCACCCGATTGGAATATGTTATTAAATCCGTGTCTTCTCCTAAAATAAATCACCGTCCTCGAAGCTCAGCTCGAGCGCGGGGTCTCTCTCTCTCTCTCTCTCTCTCTCTCTCTCTCTCTCTCTCATATTTTCTCTCTCTAGGGTTTTGCAATGGACTCCATTTGCAGAACCTCCTTCAATCCAAACCCTAATCTTCACATCTCCACTCTCTCATCGTCTCGCCCTTCCTTCTTCAACCCCCAGTTCTCCCTCCCTCTAAAACCCTCGCATTCCAAAACCCTAATCCTAACGCACATCCGCGCTTCTCAAAAACCTAACCTATAACCCTATCCAACCTGATCTCCACCGCCGTCAAGCCAACTTCATCGCCTGACCGCCGCCGCCGCCGTCTTCCTCTCCGCCACTCCCAACCCTCCCTCGCCGCCGCCGCCCTCCTCCACCGGCACAGCCGAAGCCCTAACTGGACGAGCTCCGCGAGCAAACCCTAAGTCCCGCTCCAGTCAATCCCGGCGATGTCGTCGCCCTCCGATCCTTGATGGAGCTCAAGGTCAAATCCCGCAAGCTCCCGGAAGCCATCTCCATCGCCGATCAACTTATCGCCCTCGAGCCCGAAGAAAATGACCTCCCCCTTCTCAAAGCTCACCTCCAGAGCTACAGCGGGGAGCTCGAGGCTGCAAAATTAGGGTTTGAAGAGATTTTATCGAAAAACCCTTATCTTGTCGAAGCTTACCATGGGCTTATTATGATGGCATCCCAATCTGGGGCTAATGGCGAACTGAATGAAATTTTGAAGAGGGTAGAGACTGCAATGGTGGCTTGTAAGAAGGAGAAGAGGAAAGAGGAGTTGAAGGATTTTAAGCTGTTGTTTGCTCAGGTTCGGGTTATTGAAGGGAAATATGCGGAGGCTTTGGAGATATATGAGGAGTTGGTAAAGGAGGAACCGAGGGATTTTAGGCCGTACTTGTGTCAAGGGATTATATATACTTTGTTGAGAAAGAAGGATGAGGCAGAGAAGCAGTTTGCAAAGTATAGAAAGCTGGTGCCTAAGGGGCATCCTTATGCTGAGTTCTTTGATCATAATATGAACATGATGAAGGATTTTTCGCCCGTGCAGTAGAGGGGACGAGTGGAGAGCTTCCTCTGGGGAGGTAGAATTTTGAGGTAAGTTTTGTTTGCTAATGTTAGCATTTTTGTTTGGATGGTATGGAGCATAGATTTTAGATAGTAGTATATATTCTGGTGGATTTAGCTTACCTCACAATTTTAATTTGCAGCTTTGCTGATATGTCGTATATTTTAGTTTATGTTCGTTTGGCATGCTTTGGATGTTTCATGGAATGTGGTGTATGTTTTGTGCATTAGTGGGGAGAGCATGCAACATCTTTTTCTATATACTTTTGGTTACTTGGTTGCTTAATCAAGCTATCTTTTTGTTTGTTTTAATTGATGTGCATAGATTGCGTTTTGAAAATTTGAGTGATTGAGTGTTTGACACAATAATGAAAGGCTAAGTTACTGATTTCCTCATTGTCACTGAGCTAGCTAATTAAACTTTCAAGGAGAAGATGTTAGAGGTAGGTATCTAGAATATTGATGACGAGGCAAATGTTATGTCAAATAATAGTTCTTTTTGTATTAGAAAGGTAGATAAAAAAACTCTTCTTCAAAACTATCCATCATTACAAGGCTCTTTAATTTCCAAATTTTTGTGTACTTGACCTGTGGTTTTGCCCGTTTTCTACCAAATTACAAGTTGTCGTGCCACAGAATATTTTATGCGTGCTTAAAATTTTTTAACTTCTGTGAACTATAAGGGCATCTCCAACAGCTTCTCCAAAATTTTCTCCAAAATGGGGAAGCAAAAGTTATATTCTCCAAATTATTTTTACATCAACTCTAACAGCTTCCCCATTTTGAAAAATCCCTTTTTTCCTCCAAAAATTTGGAGAATGCTGCAGATTTGGAGAAGCTTCCTCATTTTTTTCTCCTCCATCCCTATTTTGGGGAATGAGATTGGGAATCTGTTGGACTAAAAACCTAACTAAATTCTCCAAAAGTGGGAAATGGGGAAGCTGTTGGAGATGCTCTAACACACTTACAATTAATTGTGTGAACATCAATATTCTCACTTTTCTTAGGCTATGATCCACAATTTTGTCTTTTTTCGCTCTTCGATCCAATGCAAAATAGATATGCATGCTCCAAAATTCATCTTCATGGGCTTCCATGATTCTTCTCCATTTTGTTCATTTCAACCATTTAGCAATTAATTGTGAGAACTTTAATATTTGCTATTTTCTTGGGGCTATAGGCCACAAATTTTGTTCATTGTCAATCATTCTACCCAATAGCAATCAATAACGACTACTTCAAAGTTCAAATTACTAATTTTGTTGGATTATAACTTACGATTTTGGTAAATTTTTTGGTGTTGTCGTAATGTCAAGAAATTATATGTAGTTCAAAATTTATAATTTTCATAAGCTGTAACCCATGACTTAAGTCTATTTTTGTTAGTTTTGGTCAAATGACAATTAAAATTTTCTTTCATAAATTAGTTGATTTTCATAGGCATTTACCTATGATTTTTTTGTCAATTTTGTTTCTTCAACCTAGTGGAAAATAGATGTGTACTTCAAAATTCGTTATTTGCATGAGCTGCAGTCTATGATTTTTTTTTTCCATTTTGTTATGATCGTTTAGCAATCAGTTGTACGAACTTTCATATTTGCAATTTTCATGGGTTGTAGCTCATGATTTTTGTTTATTATTGTTCATTTGACCCAATGACAATTAAATATAACTGTTTTAAAATTTGTGATTTTGGGGAAAGCCTTGTAGGTCACATGACAAAGCCGTGTCGCTTCCTAGTAGAGGAGCCTGAGATTGATTTCCATGTGCGCCAAAGGCGTTGTTGTTGTGATTGTCGGTGTTATATGCGGCACAAACATTTTCCTCCAAAAAAATAACGAACAATTTTGGCAATTTTTGTTCGTTTCGTCCTTATGACAAGTATTTATACGACTTCAAAGTTCATAGTTTTCTTAGGCTATGATACACGATTTTAGTTTATTTCTGTTAGTTTCGAGCACATAGCAAATAAAGTTCATAAGAAATCACGATTATCATGAGCTAAAGCAGACAATTTTGTCAAGTTTTGTTCTTCGACCAATGAAAATAAATATGCGGACATCAAATTCATTATTTTCATGGGCTATTGTCCATGATTTTTGTTTGTTTTGTTCATATTGATTATTTAACAATTAATTGTGCGAACTTCAATATTTGTGATTTCTTAGGCTATAGGACACAAATTTTGTCCGTTATCACTTATTAGCCAGGTGAGCAAACGGAAATTTAATTTTTATATTTTTTCAAAATTTGCAATTTTGGTTGGTTATAACCCATGGTTTTGAATTTTGATAATTTTTTAATGACAAACAAATGTATGTTCTTTAAAATTCGTGATTTTCATTGGTTATAACCCAAATTTAGTCAATTTTGGTTATTTTGATCTAATGGCAATTAATTTTTGTTTCATAAAAATCACGACTTTTTTGGGTTATATCACATGTTTTTTTTAAAAATTCTACCTAATGCAGTATAAATATGTGTACTACAATTTTTTTATTTTTGTGGTCTATGATCTTGATTTGGTTATTTTGCTTGTTACGACCATTAAGCTAATATTGATGGTTTTTGTTCGGCTCAATGAAAACGAAACATTGTGTACGTTAAAATTCACGATTTTCATGCGTCATAGTTTATGACTTTTTGTCCTTTTTGCCTTTCTATGATTTCATAATTAATTGTGCAGATGTCAATGTTCACGATTTCATAGGCTATAACCTTTAATTTTGTTAATTTTCGTTCTTTAGTCCAATAGAAAATAAATACGCATACTTTGAAATTCGTTATTTTCATGGGCTTATAGTCCATGATTTTTGTCCATTCTGTTCATTTTGACCATTTAGCAATTAGTTGTGAGAACCTTAGTATCCACGATATTCTTAGGGCATTAGATTGTAATTTTTGTGCATTAATTATTCTATCAAATGGTGATCAATGATGACCACTTCAAAATTTGTAAGTTTGGTGGATTGTAACTCACAATTTTGGCAAATTTGCTTCGTTTCATCCTAATGTCAAGTAATTATACGTATTTCAAAGTTCGCAATTTGTGTGAGCTATAACCTATGGCTTAAGTCTATTTTCATTAGTTTTGACCAAATTGCAATTATAATTTTCTTTAATAAAAAAGTGCGATTTTCATAGGCGTTAACCCTTAAGTTTTTTGTCAATTTTTGTTCTTCACTCAATGAAAAATAAATGTGTACTTCAAAATTTGTTTGCATGGGCTATAGTCTATGATTATTTTTTAAATTTGTTTTCAATTACAATTTTATTTTATTTCTGCTAGTTTCAAACAAATTGCAATTAAAGTTTCTTTCATGTAAAATCACGATTTTTATGGGCTACAACTTACAATTTCATCAAATTTCGTTCTTCAATCCAATGGAAAATAAATATGATACATTAAAATTTGTTATTTTCACAGACCATAGTCTATGATTTTTGTTCATTTTTTTTACCGTTTAGCAATTAATTGTGCGAAAATTTTAATATTTGTAATTTTCTTTAGCTATAAGCCACGATTTTCATCTATTAGCAGTCGATCGAGCTAATGGCAATTTATAATGTTTTTCAAAATTTGTGATTTAGGTGGGTTATAACTTACGATTTATAATTATTTCTTTTTTGCTAATGAGAGATAATTGTACGTTCTTCAAAATTTGTGATTTTCATGGGTTATAATCCAAAATTTAGTCTTCTTTTATTAGTTTTGATCTATGTCAATTAATTTTTCTTTCATAAAAATCATAATTTTTTGTGGGTTATAACTTACGACTTATAATTATTTCTTTTTTGGTAATGAGAGATATTTGTACGTTTCTTCAAAATTTGTGATTTTCATGGGTTATAATCCAAAATTTGGTCTTGTTTTGTTAGTTTTGATCCTTGTCAATTAAATTTTTTTCATAAAAATCATAATTTTTTGTGGGTTATAACCCACGTTTTTTGTTACTAAGATATTGTTTATTTTTGTGGGCTAATTTTGATTTTTTATTTTGTTTGTCCCAACCATTAAGCTATAATTCTCGATTTTAGTCGGCTATCATTCTTCAACCCAATGAAAATTAAATGTGCACATAAAAGTTCATGCTTTTCATGTGCTATAGTCCTTGAGAAAATTTTGACCATTTCTCAATTTATTGTGCAAACATTAATATTCGCGATTTCATGGGTTAAAACCTACAATTTTGTCAATTTTTTGTTCTTCAATCCAATTGAAAATAAATATGCATACTTCAAAATTTGTTAGTTTCATGGGCTTATAGCTCCTAATTTTTGTCTATTTTGTTTATTTTGATCATTTAGCAATTAATTGTGAGAACTTCAATATTCACGATTTTCTTGGGGCTATAGACTTGGATTTTTTCTATTATACAATGGCCATCAGTACTGATTACCTCAAAGTTCTTTATTTTGGCGGATGATAAAGCATGATTTTGATATTTTTTATTCGTTTTATCACAATGTTAATTAATTATATGTACTTTAAAATTTACAATTTGCATGAACACTCATTAGCTTAAGTCTAATTTTGTTAATTCAACTCAATAAAAATCTTGATTTTCATAGGCATTAAATGAAGATTTTTTTGCCAATTTTTGTTCTTTGATCCCATGGGAAATAAATATGCATACTTCAAAAATTATTATTTTCATGTGCAGTCCATGATTTTTTTTAATTTTGTTCGTTACAACTGTAGGCGTCAAAAAATGCTGAAAGATATCCAAATACAGCTCAAGAGGAAATCATCCAAAAAGGCAGAAGACCGCAAGTCTTGACTGTCTCGCCGTGCGAGACAGACTTGACTGTCTCGCCGCGCGAGACAGTCTTTACTGTCTCGCCGTGCGAGACAGTCTTTACTGTCTCGCCGAGTGAGACAGCTTTCAGATGGTCAAAACTACCTTTGTAACTGCCCTACACGTGGCTACTAACTGTTCAAGAACGTGGGAAACGTCGTGGGCGAGAATCACGTGGATAACTGCCAATATAACGGAGTTTGAAACGTGGGAAGGCAGTTAAGATGAAAA